GCTCCGCCTGCCTCCTCTAACACCACCTACCTGCGCAGCGGAAGTTACGCCCAGGGTGCCGAGAAGATGAGTCTTTCTGCCTCTTCGGGCGACGGGGATGCTTGTCAGGCTTCGGCCAGTCTTGTGACCCGGGACCTGATGCGTGCCTATTTGGCAAATCGTCGAGACCAAGTCCTCATTGTGCTGCACGCCAAAGTTGCTCAAAAATCCTATGGAACTGAAAAGAGGTGAGCACTTTAAAGGCTGCTGTAACACCTTAGATGCATACATACTCTAGCCTTCGTAGATGGTAGGTTAGCCATTGCAGCCATTTACCATGCCCAGATAACTGACTGTCTTGGACACTGGCTGGGACCTGGGAATGGGAATAGAGAGTGGGGTCGACGGCTCAGCGCATACTGGCACTAGAAACAATCTGACGGGCTTTAAGCTATCACGGTACGCTAAAAGCCGTGGCTCGGAGGATGGGATAAATCGAATCACACAGTCAGCTGAATGTGTGGATGCGTTTTTGTGGACTAGCCAACTGGTGGACTGAAAACCAGACTGCAATGGCTCCTTTTTAATGTAACTTTTATAGCAGTGGGATTCGGGCCAGGTGTGGCGGCACATTTAGGGGTTACTACGGTCGCGCCAGCCCCTTGCGCTCTCTTCCACCACCGAGCCGATGCGGAAGAGGGGACGAGAGTACGGTAAGTGCAGCACAAGTATACTATCACTAGAATCGAGTTCATGCTCAAGTCGCCATACTTGCGCCACCATGCTGTGGGGCACACAATTGACCTCGTCAAAAGTGACGGTTAAACTATAACGTGGAAGGTAGGATTCGCAGAGGTGGCTCTGTACGGAAGTGTGTCATTTCCTGTCCGACCAACAGCTGTCAAGGTGTTTTTCGGTGCTTGATCTAGTACTTGATTTGTTAACCTGACCAGGTATACCAAAACAGTATGCAGTACTCATTGTGTTTAAGGCCTGCCTCTACACCTATACTTTGTGAATTCGGAGATAATGAACACGAAGTGGACTGCTTCTAGCTCTAGACCCGGCGTTGCATAGCATAATGGAAATGCTCATTCCTGTCCTACAATAAGAATGTACCTGTAAAGACCACACTCTTGGTGGGGTTTTGTTCTCGTCGAGAAGACTGATAGTCTGAATGTCCCAAGGAACTACTGATGACTAGAATGTGAATATTTTTTTTAGAATAAGCGCCTGATTCGCCCACGATGGACTGGGTTTTAGCAG